CTATGTAACCTAGATTCTAAAATCCAAAGAAGATAATTGGTTAAAATATAAACCTACAAGGAAGATAAATGAGTAGTGAATTGTCTTAACTTTTATTTGATTATTTTCATTTACAGTTCTGGCACTGACACTTTAAAAAAAAGATTTAATTTTATGTAAAGATTGAACTTCAATAAAATAACTTAAAAAACATTTACATATACATCATTAAATCTCCATAAAATATACAATACTTTGATACAACTATAGCTAGAATGACTTTGAAGGAAATGATACATATTCAAACTTTTAAGAGATATCTCATGTCACATGTAGGAATAAATATTTATATTGGATTTGTTAAGACATGAATTAAACACTGTATGACATGCACTCTTGGAAATTAAAATATACATTTTGAAAACATATTTTAAAAGCACAAAACTGTGTTTCCATTTAATCTAGATGTATATCAGAGCTTTTAAATAGAAATTTGAACAGTTAGTACAAATAAAAGATACTATAACATCAAGTGAAATATAGTCCAAAAGCTGTTAGGAACCAGTTTGGACATGTAGAACATAAATTTCTACTTTGGCGAGAGTTGAGTCTCATTTTTTAACCTTCAAATGAGATGGAATAATGGTAAATTTGCTAAAATTTTACAAAATATTTGTGGTTTTTAATTTTTAGTACTTGTAAGCTATGTTTCTTTTTCTCATTATATTGATATGATAAAATCAAATGCACAGTCTTAACTGTCTAAAATCAAAAGCTGAATATTACTGCTAAATGAAAATAGATACTTAACATTCCACAGACCAAATCACTCAAGTGTAACAAACTTTGTTTTATACATAAAAAGTAAAGACTTATGAGAATTGTATTGTTTTACACTCACAAGCAAATTATGATATAAAATTTTTTCATGTATTTCTGAACATCATTAACACTTACGAAATCTCTCTCTGATGATTACTGGCACACAAAAATCTCCTTCTCTAAGAGATGATCTTTAAGAGAGTTGGGAGCAGTTAGCTGTTGGCATTTTAAAATGATTGCTATTTCTAGAAAATAGCAGCAATATTGCTCACCCGGAAGGACTGAAGATACTGAAATTGATATGCTGCTACAACCTGGATCACTTCATCAAATTAGGTTAACATTATTGTACATGAGGCTAAGAAAACAGAAAGCAACAGAATACAGGATGCTAAAATTAATCCAGAGAACAATTCTGAGTCTTTTAATAGGCAGAAGCCACACATAAGTTGTACAATTTATCCAAAACTCAATACATTTTGGTATAAAGTACATATTATGAATTCTCTGCCTCTGGCATGGTATGTCATTTTTTATTTGTAGTTACTGAAAAGGTCTGAATGTGGCAACTTAAAACTGACACAACAACTGTATAAATGTTAGTTGCTAGGTGCTTAGTGTAATTTGCGATTTCATAACTAGGAGAATAGTAAAATAATTATAATAAAACATGTTACTAATTTTATTTTTCTTAATTACTGATGAAAGAAAGTCAAAAGAATGCTCCCATCTCTCTTACTGTATTACAGCATTTATAAAATATATTAGTGTCATTAAGCTAATGAGACTAGTGAGATTTTCTTAGATGCCATGAAAAGAATTTTCTAGAATACCCTTCCTCCAAGATCTATGGATTATTATAATGCATTTCAATTCTACTTTCTGATATAAAGGCAAAAGGATAAGTTATCAACATATTTTTCTCTGTTAATTCTTCCTCTGGATAACTGATTTTGAAATTATAGTAAACAGTTTCTAAATTCTCTACTTTAACAGATTTTCCATTTTAGAGTGAATAACTTAAGAAACAATATTAAGACTCTTACACACTAAAATGGTTCAGTGGTAAAATAAAAATATGAAAAGTACTTGATAACATTACTCTCAGCATTTTTCCATCTGGGAACTAACTACTGCATATTACTGGTGATAAAATTTCAAGTGGAAATAATACCTTTTAATCTAATTTTAGTTTAGATCTTTTATATATACATTAAAATCATGTTTTGGGTAATTACTGACTAAGGTGCAACAATCAAAATTATTAGGAATTTTACATTTAAGAAAAATATTAATACCTAATCTTTAAAATCTATCTGATTTTAACATTCGGCCCTAAGTGTTCAGATGCAAATGAAATGTTATACTCTCTTAAGTCTAGTGCATATCTTACCAGCCATCCAGCTAGGCCTCAGTAGAGGATATGACCATCTTCCCTATATTTTCCTAAATCACAATATACTTCTATTAATTTTATAGCATGTTTAGAAGGGAACATATTTCAGCTAAAAGTGTGATGCTTAATGTGTTTTAATATGATAGATCAAATCATAGCATATATAAATTTTCCTATAAAATATATATTTGATGATATTTCAAATGGAATGTTTTCAAGTTGACAGTGGTAGCCAAAGATGCTGATAACTTAGAAGGTGCATAATATTAAAAAACCTGCAAATTCAAATACTTAATTTTTAATATACTATAAATGTTCACTGAATCTAAAAAAAATACCCTAATTTTATAAGGTTCCTTTTCAAGTAGTTGTCATTAAAAAATTATAAATAATTCTTATACTGTGTCTCTCTGTCTTGTACTTCAAAGATATGGAATATTATTTTTATCACTATATAAATAACAAGTAGTCCTTTATAGAAGGAATTGAGAATAGAAGACAAGAACTGTGGCTATTTTTCCCTGTTATTATGTGCATTTATGGATATAAAGTTGAAAACACCATTTACTTATGTCAGGGAGAACAGGCCATGTTCTGCTATAAAGAGCCCAGTTGCTCCTTTAATAAAGTTACTGTGCATTCAGCTCAGCTGCGTATAAGCATATAGTTAAGGCCATGTACACAATAAACAGAAGAATTGTGGGAATTAGATAAATCAGGAAAACAAATTTCTAAAGAGATCACTTTATGGGTTTAAATACTTTTTCTCCACATTATATTCTGATTTTATCATACAATAGTTCATTTTCCATTTCATTTTACCTGTGTGAAATATTATACAAATAAGAAATTTCTTACGGGATAAGAAATATCAATAGAATAATAACTTTCTGTGTTAAAGCACATCTGCTTTTCTGGGGAAAATCAAAATTAATATCCCCTTAGAAATCAATTGTCAGAGCACCTAATTCAAGGAAAAAACCTCTCAAAAATATATACATTTTTAATTACGTGAAATAATCAAAGGGAGAAAACTCTTTTTCGGTGGAAGGATTTTTAGCTTTAGAGAATGAAACTCTTTGGCTACATTCTCAGCTGTCATAATTGTCATAATGTTCTTATGACATTCTTAAAGCCAGACTTTGAGAAAGACCAAACCATCTTGGAGACTGGCAGAAATATACTGAATTGAAAGTCACTCTTTCACTTCAAAGAATAACTTAATAGATGTTTAGAGACACGTTAAAATGCATCAAATATTTGCACTCTTAACTGACCTCAGAAGACTCATTCATATTTTCACTGGAACTAAGTACTTTTGTGAGTGATTTTGTACGTACTATGTAGTTCTTAATATATGAGCAAAAATTGGAATTCACTGATGAATGAGCATAGAAACCAATGAATACTTTGAAAAAATACTGCAGAAATATAGTAAGTCAACATTTCTTAAAGACACATATGAGAACCATTAATCTGTTCCAATGGAAAATCCCAGTTTTTAGACAAGAAGGAAAAAAATCCGAGTCAAGCATGAGAAAAAGGATACACCCACAGACAAATCTATGCATCTATTTTTAAGAGAATGTCAGAGAAAATGTGCAAAATAAAAACCAGTTTATACTCTTAGAATTAAAAAGGAAAAAAAAGACAAGTATCATTACGTAATAAAACGTGACAATTCCCCTAAGAAGAGTTAATAAAAAGTTAAGAAAAACAGAAGTCTCACTGCTTAATTAAACAAACATAAATAACAGCAAGGTTATTTCTGCTGCTGATTTTCTTCCTTCCTTTCTTGTTTCAGAAATTATTTGATTAAGAGGGGGAAAATAGTCTGCTAGAAGCTATTTATGTGACACAAATGAAGGCACAAATAGTAGGAATCCAGAGTTGATGAGTGAAGTTGTGAATACAGGGGATTTTGGCTTGAACAAAAACTGACCCTGAAATACAGTTGAAGATCTAGTGCTATTTTGTGTTTACAGCTGCACACTTAAGTGACTAACTCAGGGTTAAAAATCTTTAAGGTCCATAAAAATCTTTTCTTTCTTTCTAGCAATAAAATATACTTATCAAAACTTGCTAGCTAATCTGTGCAAATGTATACTTCTCAACTGATGCAAAAAATATGTAGGAAAATAAACCTTAAAAGACCTGCTTTTTATAATGTTCCAAAGATTCTGTACAGAGTCAGCTGCTGAAGAATTTTCAAGATTTGAATTGGAGAGAGAAATGAAAATGTAGAATACAAAGGATAGCTGTGCCCTTGTAGGAGACACTTTTGAATTTGTTGATGAAAACTTAAATGGAATTTTTTTCTAATAGCTGATCACAGATAAGTGCCTCATCCTTAGGAAAAATTAGGGCCAACAGACCATGCTTTGACAGAAAATACCTTTGGACCATATTTTAGCATCCTTTGTCATAAGTATATCATACATATATGATTTGGCTGGATTAGCACTGACTCAACTGCCACTAATAATTATATATAGTCTTAGGAAAAAAGGATATCACTGAATTCACTGGGTACAATATTCATTTCAAACTATCTCAGGAAGGAATTACACACATTCGTTCAATAATTATTAGTTTAAAATCTCCGTAAATTTTTTTACATTTCTGTGTGTGAAAAAAATGTCACTGTGATGGTATCTTCCTTGGAATCAAATATTCTAGGATATGAAGTTGTTCAAACTAGACTGTGGAAAGAACCAGATTAAAAGCAGGGCAGTGAGGTCACCAATTGCTGTTCTTCTCTCCCAAGTTTCTTTAAATGACTGAATATATAAGCAGCTGATAATTATTCCACATCAGAAGCATCATTGTCAGAAAGATGGTAGTTACTTCCCTTTACCCGAATATATTCAATATATCTCCCTTCATCAGAATCTGAAGCACCACATGTACATAGCCTGTTGTCGAAGAGTGATTCAATTTCCTCTAATTTTTTCCCTTTGGTCTCAGGAAGACAGCCGTAGATGAAAAGGAGACCCACCGAAGCGAATCCAGCATAAAGGAAGAAGGCTCCTGCAACGAAAAATACTATATATGTTTATTTTTGCTTTTATTTCCAATATTTTGGGAGGTGGGTCATAGAGGATCCTGCTGTGATTTATGTCAGAGAGTGTTTTGCCTATGTTCTCCTCTAGGAGTTTTATAGTCTCTAGTATTACATTTAGATATTTAATCCATTTTGAGTTTATTTTTGTGTATGGTGTTAGAAAGTGTTCTAGTTTCATTCTTTTACAAGTGGTTGACCAGATTTCCCAGCACCACTTGTTAAAGAGGTTGTCTTTTTTCCATTGTATATTCTTGCCTCCTTTGTCGGGGAATACATGAAAATCCATGGCTGATTCATGTTAATGTATGACAAAAACCACTACAATATTGTAAAGTAATTAGCCTCCAACTAATAAAAATAAATGGAAAAAAAATTAAAAAAAAATTCCAAAAAAAAAAAAAGAAAGAAAAATACTATGTATGTAAAGCTTTACATTGGAAAGGGGACTTAATTTTAACTTCTGTTTCTGGTCAATAATGCATGACTGTGGTCTGAAATGGACCAAAAATTTGCTTCTAGCTTGGTTTATTTAGTTTCCTCTAATTCTTTTAAACCTGTGAATATAAGAGTTTGTCTTTCTAGACTCAAGTTATGTAATACCAAACTCAAGAAGGATAGCCCAGGCTCAGAATAACTTCTGCTTTGAAGTCTTTCCTCACTTCCCTGGTTAGGGTTGTGCTTTCACAACACTTTGCTGAGGCGAAGTGGTTTATAACAACAAAGTAGCAATATAATTATGTGAATATATTTGTGTTAGCCACTAGACTGGAGGCACTTTCAGGAAGAAATTTTCTTCTCATTTATCTCAAGTGTAGTGTTTCCAGAACCACATTCAGTGATGACACTGCTGATTTCCTGAATCAAAGCTCAAAGTCTAGGAGTCAACAGAATTTTCTCTTACTCTCCCACCCAATATCCACTCTTAGAAAATCCTGTTGGATCTACCTTCACATACAATCCAAAGATGACCATTTTTTGCCTTTTCTGGACATCTCTGGTTTAAAAGCCTTCCTCTTTACCTGCAGTACTCTTAAGAGTCTCCTAACTAGTGTCCCATTCCTTCTCTGAGGCTCCTACAGTCCATTTGTGTGTGTGTGTCCATAGCACTTGGGGCTTCTCAGCGGTAAAGTATCCTCCTGCCAATGGAGGAGAAGCAAGATGTGGGTTCAATCCCTGGGTCAGGAAGATTCTCTGGAGGAGGAAATGACCCATTGCTCCAGTATTCTTGCCAGGAAAATTCCATGGACAGAGGAACCTGGTGGCCTACATTCTACCTCAATGAAACTAGGTACCATGCTGTATAGGGCCACCCAAGATGAATGGGTCATGGTGGAGAGTTCTGACAAAACATGGTCCACTGGAGAAGGGAACTGCAAACTACTTCAGCAGTCCTGCCTTAGAGAACCCCATGAACAGCATGAAAAGGCCAAAGGTATGACAAAGAAAGATGAACCTCCCAGCTCAGTAGGTGTCCAATATGCTACTGGAGAAAACTGAGAAATAGCTCCAGAAGAAATAAAGAGGCTGAACCAAAGGGGAAACAACACCCAGTTGTGGATGTGTCAGGTGGTGAAAGTAAATTCTGATGCTGTAAAGAGCAATGTGGCATAGGAACCTGGAATGTTAGGTCCGTGAATCAAGGCAAATTGGAAGTGGAGAAACAGCAGATGGCAAGAGTAAACATTGACATTTTAGGAATCAGTGAACTAAAATGGACAGAAATGGGTGGATTTATTTCAGATGACCATTACATCTACTACTGAGGGCAAGAATCCCTTAGAAGAAATGGAGTAGCCCTCATAGTCAACAAAAGAGTCCAAAATGCAGTACTTGGGTGCAATCTCAAAATGACAAAATGATCTCAGTTCCTTTCCAAGGCAAACCATTCAATATCACATTAATCCAAGTCTATGCCCCAACCACTAATGCTGAAGGAGCTGAAGTTGAATGGTTCTGTGTAGATATACAAGACCTTCTAGGACTAACACCTTCTTGATGAAGGTGAAAGAGGAGAGTGAAAAAGCTAGCTTAAAACTTAACGTTCAAAAAAACCAAGATCATGGGATCTGGTCCCATCACTTCATGGCAAATAGATGGGGAAACAATGGAAACAGTGATAGATTTTATTTTCTTGGGCTCCAAAATCACTGCAGGTGGTGACTGAAGTGATGAAATTAAAATATGCTTGCTCCTTGGAAGAAAAGCTATGACAAACCTAGACAGCATATTAAAAAGCAGAGACACTAATTTGTTGACAAAGCTCCGTCTAGTCAAAGCTATGGTTTTTCCAGTAGTCATGTATGGATGTGAGAGTTGGACCATAAAGAAGGCTGAGTGCCAAAGAATTGATGCTTTTGAACTGTGGTGTTGGAGAAGACTCTTGAGATCAATCCTAAAGGCAATTAACCCTGAATATTCATTGGAAGGACTAATGCTGAAGCTGTAACTACAATGGTTTGACAACCTGATGCAAAGAGCTGACTCATTAGAAAAGACCCTGATGCTGGGAAAGATTGAAGGCAGGAGGAGAAGGGTATAACAGAGGATGAGATGGTTGGATGGCTTCACCTACTCAATGGGCATGAGTTTGAACATGCTCTGGGAGTTGGTGATGAACAGGGAAGCCTGGCGTGCTGCAGTCCACGGGGTCACCAAGAGTCAGACATGACTGAGCACCTGAACAACAAAAACATGTGCCTTCTAGATAGTCATTTAACCTCCTCCTTGGACCTCAGTTTCCTCTTTACGTAAAATAAGATGATTTCTCAGTTCCTATTTAAATCTATGGTTGAAACTGTAATTCTGTAAGTTTTACAACCCAGTAGGACTAGGTATAGGAGAGGTGGTAATGGTATGCTTGAGGAGACCAGCAAAAGTGGTCTCCTCAAGGCCAGAGTCTGTGGCTTGTCTCTGGGTTCCTAGTACAGTGCTGATTCATTGGAGAGTTTCAGTTCAGTTCAGTTGCTCAGTCGTGTCTGACTCTTTGCGACCCCATGAATCGCAGCACGCCAGGCCTCCCTGTCCATCACAGACTCCCAGAGTTTACTCAAACTCATGTCTAACGAGTTGGTGATGCCATCCATCCATCTCATCCTCTGTCATCCCCTTCTCCTTCTGCCCCCAACCCCTCCCAGCATCAGGGTCTTTTCCAATGAGTCAACTCTTCACATGAGGTGGCCAAAGGATTGGAGTTTCAGCTTCAGCATCAGTCCTTCTAATGAACACCCAGGAATGATCTCCTTTAGGATGGACTGGTTGGATCTCCTTGCAGTCCAAGGGACTCTCAAGAGTCTCCTCCAACACCACATTTCAAAAGCATCCATTTTTTGGCGCTCAGCTTTCTTCACAGTCCAACTTTCACATCCATACATGACCACTGGAAAAACCACAGCCTTGACTAGATGAACCTCTGTTGGCAAAGTGATGTTTCTGCTTTTTAATATGGTATCTAGGTTGGTCATAACTTTCCTTCCAAGGAGTAAGCATCTTTTAATTTCATGGCTGCAATCACCACCTGCAGTGATTTTGGAGCCCCCCAAAATAAAGTCTGACAGTGTTTCCACTGTCTCCCCATCTATTTGCCATGAAGTGATGGGACCAAATGCCATGATTGGAGAGTTTAGGGAATGAATATTCTCTTGCTGACTGCCAGATGGAATACATTGGGTAGCATATTTGAAATAAAGGCCTAAATAAGACAACATGACTATATATATTTGAAAGTCAAGCTTGAAGATGAAAAGTACAGCAGTTTAAGAACTGAAAAATATTTCACAGTTCGTTGTCATTACAGAATCTGGAAAGATATTATTAAGACTACTTTCTTACAGACAGGCCTAGAAGTAACCATTTCAGTACTATCCATAGGAACATTTCTTGGGAAGACTGAAGTAAAACTACAGAAGAAAAATGCTGCTGAACTGGCTACCCCAAAGAATCTGCTCCATTGAATGAGCAGCCATGAGAAAATAAAAGTGAAACAGAGGTAAACTATGACATATTAAAACACATATATAAAAGGATTGACTAAATCAAGACATAGTTTGTTAGCTTAAATCATCAGAAGCTATATAATTCTTAAGGAGCTGGATGTATAAATCAAATTTTTTCTTTAATAAAAATAAAATTTCATTTACAAATTCAAGGCTCCTTTATTTCATTTCAGTTTGGTCTACATTATAATACAAGTTTATATATTTTTATATCATAGTTGATAAAAAATAAAAAATAATAATAGGTCATCTGGCATGCATATCTGAGAGTTACAGTGAGAGGAAGGCTCTGTAGACACTGTGGGTCTGAAAGTCAAAAAGTTATACAGGCTGAATCCTTGTGCAGTTTCTTGAATTGTCTTGATTTTAGTTTCCTGATCTGACAGGGAAAATCAATCCTCCCTCGCTATAAACTGCAAAGAATAGAAAGAATTTTGGATGTTAGTTGCCCAGAAAAGTGATAGACATTATTAAATCATTGTAAATGACTAGGGAAAAATAGTGAGTAGTAAGATCAGCATGACTAATAAATCAAGAATGTTTTCATCTAAGGGGTGCTATGACAAGCTGGCTCTTGGAGGATGTGGAATTTTGAGGAAAAAAAATGACAGAAGGTGAAGTCTTGAATTCTAAATACAGATAAGCAAAATTGTGCAGGTAAGAAAACAATAGGTGCGGATGATAAAACATTTTAGACTAAACTGGGATGCTAAACTCTGAAATATCTAACGGAGTAAATATAGTCTGGCTTTATAAAATATAATATTGAGAAAATACTCATCATCTTTCACAATTTAAGTACAATGGCATGATTGGAAGTAACAAATCAAATCTCTTTATACTAAACTCCTACAGTTAAAAGCAAATTAGATGGATTACTGACATTCTTAAAGGCCATACAGTTTCTTGCGTGTGTGAACCAGATTTCCAAAGCCAAATAACATAAAGGAAATTCTATTAAAAAACAAGATACT